CCTGTAGGCAGGTCTGATGACAAACTTTGTCTGAAAAGCCACATTTATACCGAAATTTGAGCTAGTTAATGTTTATTGTTACCCGTTTTCTCCATCATTTCAGTCTTGTGCTTGGTATATGTCTGGCAATTGCAAAAGCAATAAATAGCTCAGTGCTGTAGATAGGCTGCCATCTTAATGAAAATGGGCATGCAGTTATGCGTATTGGTCATCTTAGTTGGCAGGAAACTCATAAAAATCAAGGCACAGAAGAGCAAGGACTTCTCCTGGGCTATTCCTTGCTTTGCTTGTATGTATAATACAATATAAAGTAAACTTAAACTCTACGTACAGTCTTGAGTCTAAATGATTTTTTTTAGAAGCTCAGAATTAGTATTTTTGTTTAATACTGAGAACTACACATCAATCTGTGCCCTCATAGGCTTGAGGCAGTGAGAGGCGTGAGCTTTCCACATCTTTCAGGTGCTGAAAACCCACTGCCTGTGATCAAAAATATTGCCTAATTATGTGCCATTTTCAACAGAAAGTGCCAAAAAACTAAGAACAAGTTGAACCTAAGAGAAAGTAGGTGGCGTGTGATATGTGTGTAACTCGGGGAGACACAAGCAATCAGTTGTGTACTGCTTTAACAGACCACTCTGCAGAGATGGTGGCTTTCATTGAAAATGCACCACAAGGATCCCTGCTTTTCATGGTGACCCATGATGATGGAAGCACCCGGTAAGCAAGTCATTCATGGTAGGCTGAGGAACAGAGCAATGAAAAGCTCGAAAATCATAATTGAAAAATGCTCTAAAGCAGCAAATTGTTTTGTTCTGTAGCGTTGTTCTCTCTTTCTGTCTCTCAGAGATTTTGAATCCAGGTCCATCCAGTGCTTGCCTATATCATAGATTATGAAGCTTTCAAAGATGAACAGATGCTGTCATATTTCTTTAAATACAACCTATTTATCCTCTTAAAAGCCTGTGATATTACCTCTCAGTTGCAACTTTCTCTTCACATGGGGTCGGCAGCTCTAAGTAAAACATTATCTAGTTTGCATTCCCCTGCACATCTTAACCTGATTCTTTTAATGCTGTCAGATTTTAGGGTTTTTTAGTTTGAATTCATGATAAGGTAATTCATGGTCATAGGTTCATGATTATGCAGGGAAAAATCGTTTGGTTGATAAAAATTTCATGCTTTAATCCTTGTTGAGATGTAGTCTCAAATAGTATTTGAGATACCTTTTTGTTTCTGTTACACTATTGTAAACAGATTCTATTAAAACCAGGAATTTGCACAGGAAGAAAGAAGCATTTTGCTTTGTGAATTTCATGGTGTTCTACTAAGCTTTCAAGACAGTGGAAGTTTTAGACTTCTCATTGCTGTTTCTGCTGACCTACTATGTGAACCGTAAATTGTTCTTCTTTTTCAGCTTTTTTTATTTCATGCATTTTTAACAATTTTCTTTGTGCTAAATTTTCCCAGGTTGAAGAACGATGCCAAACAAGTAGTAGAAAAGCTGGGAAGTAAAGAAATAAAGAATATGAAGTTTAGGTCAAGCTGGGCCTTTGTGGCTGCCAAAGGCTTCAAGCTGCCAGATAATATCCAAAAAGAAAAGGTCAGGTTCATTATATTTTCACTTTATATTTGTCTGTTTTTCAGGTATGTCTTTCAGGTACAGATTTAGTAGTGAAGCTAAAATAACCGTATTCTGTTTAGTAAGTCCTAGTTGTGCGAAACGAGTTCTCTAATGCGTTCTCATTCTTTATTTGGATCTGGGACAGCCTTTACCACAACAACATTAAATCCTTTAGTGACTGTTTTTTTCCTTCTATAACACATTTACAGAAGTAATCAGTTATTCTAGAGAGTGTCAGTTTTGAAATGTCCAGCCTGATGTGCTGTTCAGAGGCTGACATTTTTTTCTGGAAGGACAGTTCCATGGACTGAAAAAAATTCAAGACTGTTCTGTCTGAAAACTGGGCTGTCTCATACTGGCTATGTAAGCAAAGTGATGCCTGCATCACAGAGATGTTATGAATACCTTGTCCTCAGGCTTCAGGAATAGTAAAGATGCCTTTTTTATATCATATCTCTGGTTTTATATGTGACTTGGTTTCGTCTGCTTGCTATAAGCTCGCTACTTTTTTTTCACGTCACAAACAGAAATGATCCAACTCAAAATTCTATTCCCTTGATGATGCTGAGTCTCTTCAAAGGCATGTTAAATTTCCATAGTTAATTTACCCTGGAATATTGTTGCAATATTCTTAGCATTACAGAGCTTCTGCAGGGAGAAAAAAAAAAAAAAAACATTTAGTGTATAATATGACATCCATCTGGGAAATAAATACATCATTGTACGTAAGAGAGGAACTGGCAGAATTTTCACCCACTGTGACAAGCAAGATGCCCAACATAACTTGCAGATTCCCAGTCTTACTGTTTCCCCCCTTCTGTTTGTAAAAGGTTATAAATTTTTTTCCTTTTTTTTTTTTTTCAATAGATAAACCATTCTGACAAGAATAACAGGTACAGTGGCTGGCCAGCTGAAATCCAGATAGAAGGCTGTATCCCAAGAAACCTGATGTGAACAAATAAATACCCTACTTATAAAGGCAGTTCTATATTTTTATACATATGACTCCAGTAGGTTGCATCCTGAAACCTACAAGCACCTGAACAGTAATTGTAAAATAAGTCGTATGTACTGTTTTTAAGCATTCTTTCTTAACAGGTTTTACTCTGATCTGAAAACAAATAGATATTTCGGTGGCAAGCGGAAATAAAATAACTTCAGTTTGGAACTCCACCATTCAGGAGATCGGTCTAAAACACCAGGTTTATTGAAAGTGATTGTAATACAGTCATTAGTAATTCCAGTTTTTGTTGTTTGCTTGTTTTTACCGTTTGTTTTCTTCCGGTTGTCTTTGAAGACTAATATGGAAATATGAAAGCATTTAAATTAAATTGTAATGTAAAATCACTAGCAATAAATTATTTTGATGTTGTTGGATTAGTCATTTTGCATCTCTTCAGAAAAGAAGTTTCTGTTATTTTAGTTGAGCTGTTTTTCTTGGTGATGTGACAACATGGAATAACGTTAACATCCAAAGAGCAAGTTATTTGAATTAGTTTACCAGATTTACGCTGAAAATCTACATCATTCTTTTTAATTATTTTCTCTTCCAGTAAGGTAAAAAAAAAAAAGCTATGACTTAATGCAATATTAAGTGTTATCCTTGCTAGCTGTAGAACCAAACACATATTGGAAGAAAGCCGTAGAGGTTATTTGTTCAATTTCCCTTTTACTGAAGCAGATCACATACGTACAGAACTTTTTAAGCTGATGCTTATGTGTTATTGATGTTTGGTGTTTGTTTTTCAGAAACCAGATAAAAAGCATATATAAAGCAGATTCCACAGCTTAAGTTGTTACCTTTAGCATTTCACTGTTATTTTATTTCCCTAAATATCCTGTTGTAGACATTTGAAGACCATCCTTATCAGCTCTGTCATTTCCACATTGATCCTACCTATCTTTTCTAACCTTTATGTTTTTCTCAACACTAAAACTTGCACGTCAATAGCTTTCTCTGCATGCTGGGCTTCCAGTGGGTGTTTCCTGCTGTCCTCTGCTCTAGGCTTAGGACAGGAGAGAATGGGAAGTGATGACCTGGCTGCTGACCGCAGGGACTTCACGCTGCTCTTGCGCTCCGTGTTGCCCTGTCAAAGGCCCCTCTGCAGTGCTCCACTTCTCTACCCTTGTCCTACTGCCACCAGCTGCTTTGAGACACTGCTGTTCCGAGCAGCTTCCTGGCATTAAGTCTCTTCTAGTCCCTAAAGCTCCGTTTCCTACGACCCGTTGGAGAACTAGTGCATAGTGCAGTAGTCCATTTCACTGGACGCTGCCGTTGAAAGCGGTTAAAAGAGGTTGACACAGTTTGACCTTGGCAGACTCACAGTCTTTTGACTCACAGTCTGCTCCTTATCACCTTGCGACTGATTAGGTGGTTACAAATTGAGTATTGAAATACTTGTTTCCATACTTTTCCCGATCTATATCATGCTTCCGTTGTTCTTTCGCTTGTAAGTGAAGGGCTCCATTTTGGTGTTTTACCCATTTAATAGTAAATGCATACGAACTGCTGTAACACATTTTTGAAACTCAGTGATTTAGATGGGGACCCAGTGTTTGCTAGCAGTTGCCAACTACTTGGCAGTTGAGAAAACTTCTTTACACCTACTGCTGGTTCTTACAGTCTCATGTGATTTTTCGGGAGGAAAGTTGATCATAGCATCTTCAGTCTTTACTTAAACCTGTGTTTGGACACAGCTTTCTGGATGTATCTGGAAGATACTTCAGTGCTTCCTTCTTGGAAGGTCTGAGTATGTTCCAGCTGCTTTCACTTATTTCTCAGGGATGTTACAGCCAGAGAGCTAAAGCAGATCTCTAAATTAATCTTACATCAGTTACAACAAATTTTACATCATTTTCTATTCAGCAGTTAAGGCAAGGTGTGCTACTACATTACCTGTTTGTGGTAAATAGCAAAATGCAACGTACATCCTTAGCGCTGGCCTCACTGAGCCTCAGTGGGATCATAGCGCTCCTTTGATGGTGTACAACCGCTGTCACCACAAAGAGGTGACACCCTTAAGGAAGTGATCGTGGTGTAGTGCTGCTATCCAGACAACTTTTCTTCATAAGAAGGCTCTGGGCGTTTGGTCCTGCATATAAATCCAGTGGATGGCTATTCTGATGTAGCCCAAGATTTTCAGTAACAGTAATTACAAGAGAAAGCTTTTGCATTAGGAGTGTTCTCACAGCCATATTCACATGACACGGCTACTGCTTGGTTTGCTCCTGCATGGAACATCTGTGTCAAGAAATATTTTGTCCAGGTTTTACTATCACTTTCTATGAACTGGCAATCTTTAAATTCTATTCAGGTGGAAGCATCTGCTGGGTGCATAACGTAACACTGACGGGTAAAGTGAGCATCATCTCGGGCCACTTGTGCCTTGCCTGATCGCTCCAAAAGGAGATTTTGATGCTGTTATTTCCAGATAGTGAATGTTGGTTGTCAGTATGTCACCACAAAGCAGCTTCCCCATGCTCCATTCTTTGCAGATGGACAACGATAAAAAAGGAATTATCAAAGTCACAGATTGAACTACATGAGAATCCCTGAGAAATGGTCTTTAACTTCATTTTTCAGAAATGCATCTGAGTGGACTAGATTTCGTGTGTTAGTAATACAACCGTGTGCGTTAATAATATGCAGTGTTGAGTAGGAGTCAGCTTTGTTTTCCACTGCCAGTGTCACAGTGTTTAAATATGGGAGGCAGAGGAACATCAAGTAGTTTGATACCTCTCTGATCTGAAAAAGTCACTAAAAGTGGTCTCTTGGGTAAAAGGGTGCCACTTTTCCAAATGTTTTCAGAGTAGAAGCAATCTTACAGAGAACTGTTTTGAAAATGGAATTTCAGTTTTGCATACAGCTGGAGCACTTTTTAAAGAGCTGCCTTCTAAACTGGAATAAAAAGCATTTTTATGGAGAAATTAGTCTAGAAAAGCTTTTTGAATTAAAAAAAAATCAAAGGAGTAGTAAATTAATTTTTTAGACTTCTTTTTGGGGTGAGGTCGAAGGGTATAGGATCTGTTATGTAGATGTCCTTACATTCTGTCCCATAAGCTCTAGAGCACAACCAAGCTTCAGCCACAGAGGTTAACACTGTAAATGCCACATCATGCAGTCTGTTTTTGCTTAACGCTGTCACCCACAAAAGCAGCCAGTTGAAAGCAATATGGTGCACTCTCCTCGATTTGGGGAATGCTGGAGTCATCATTGCGCTTCATGAAATATTTCTACAGTAGAATGAACTATCACCAACAAGAAATGAGGCTAAAACTTTTTTTTTCTTCTTCTGAGAGTGTGGTCTTTGTCTAAATCGGAATACACAAATCCCATGGGAAGATACAAGCTTTAGGCAGCAGCATTACTCGGGGCTTGTTTTTCTATAGTCACAAGGAAAATGCCACAGCAGGTGGCAGCAGTGGCCTTCCAGACCCTGGTATATAGCTTGTCTGTAGCAGAACCAAGAGCTCTTGCTGAGTGCCTACTAAAATCAATAGATATCTGCCCTGGTCATAGTGCAATTTCACCTACAACTTGGATATCTGCTCTGGTCATAGTGCAATTTGTCCTACAGCTGGGAATCAAGCAAGAAGCTTTGCTTGTAACTTACTAGGTCTTGGTTTCCTGTTCTTTGCCAGTAACAGGCTTCCATTTCCTTCTTTTTTGTCTCCACAAGCATTTGAGGATAATTAACTTTCAAGAGAGGTTGGAAATATATGTTTTTCATAAGTTTATATATGTGTGTATATATGTATGTATATGTATCTTTGGCATGTGGAGTATGCTTAAGAAATGTGCATACCCCAAACTAATGTTTGGGACACATTTAGGCTTCCTTTTGAGGTACAGCCCCTTGTGTCATAAATCTATTGCAGTTGGAAACAGAACTGTAGTAATAACTGTAGTATATTAACTTTTATACAGCTGGCCCAGGTGTCAGCTGCAGTAAAGCTGTTTCCTCCAGTCTGCATCAACCTTCCTGGGACCCGGATGACAACTGCAGCATGTAGCTTAGCACTGAAGCCCATGGTTTTGTTGGAGAGTTTTGCTGGAGTAAGGGTTGTCTGAAGATCACAGTGTCTATATCCCTAATTCTAATCTTCGCAAACTGTTGAGAGTAATCCTTGTGAGTATGGGACTTGGTGAATGTCAAGGCTTGAAGTATCAATAAATGATTTTCCATAATTTCTCAAAATAGAAAAAAAAAATAGCCCATGGTACTCCTTTTGCTGAGTTCAGCAAAAACTATTTTGGAAAAAAAAATGGTTTAGATAATTAGGAAGATTTCTAATCTAAAAGAAATCTAAATACAATAGAAATGCTAGTTGTATTGGAGCTCCAGTGTTGCATTCAGGGCAGGACTGTCACCACCATTAGGTCCAGTCATCTCTGGCTCTGTCTTCTGAGTGTCAGAGTCTTCCAAGGAGGGTGACAATGCAGGTTCCTGGGATGAACTGTCCAGGATAGCGCTAACCTCTTGGTGAGGAATTACTTCCTAACATCCAGCCTGAACCTCCCAGACAGCATTCTGTGATGGTTGTCACTGTGTGATACTGTGTGGCACTACTGAGAAAAGTTTGGCTCCAAAACCTTTGTCACTGCCGCTCAAGTAGTACTAGGCAGTTACTAGATCACAACCTTAACCTCCTCCTCACTAGACCAAAAGCCCAGCTCCCCCAGCCTCTCCTTACATCCTCTCCCAATTATTATTGAACTGTCAGGGGTTGGGAGGCATCACATTCCTTCATACCATACTAGACTCATGTTCAAATATCTCTACAAATATCTGTCTGTTGTTCAGTGTTCCTCACAAGAGGGTTTAAATAGGTTCCTCATATCTCTGAACTGTTTAGAAAGGCATTTTAGATTGCAGCAGTTAGAAAAAAATAACTATCATTTCCACTTCTCCCTCCAGTGGAAATGTGACAAAATCAATCCTATAATGAAAGGAGTACTGGGACAGAAGCTCTCTTTTATCTCTCTC